GTATGCAACCCGCATTTTTTACGTACGAACGTGGCGAAGTAGGTTATTGGCTTCATGCTGGTGCGTGAGTTTTCGAGTGGTATGGAGTCATTTGACACGTTTCGATCGCATTTTCTTTTTTATTTTACAATTTATAATTTGTTTGATTAATGAAAATTTTGAGCCGTAACGTGCCAAAGACGTGTGTTTATGAATAAATAATTTTTTTTTTTTAAGATTGGCTTCATTGCATGCAAAGAAAAATCTAACCTTGGTTTTGTGGTATGAAATCTTTGTGGGTAGCGAAATTAACATTTAAAATCGGTTTTGTGGCTTGCATAATTAATTTTGAGGTTAAATATGTGGGATAACAAAGGAGTTTTACTTTAAAGAAAATCAGAAAAAATAATTCTTTGATTTTCGTTAGTATAAAAGTTTTTGTATAATTTAAAAAAAATGATTTTCAGTTGAATAACCTTGCTCGCCATTACCGTATTGGATGAGATTCAAATTCGAGGGCATTTTGTTTAGGAAATACTACTGCGGATTTGGTACCAAAATTTTCTTACTTCGGGAAATTTTATTATCCACCAAAGTCGGGAGGGTAAAATACCTTTATTGCTTCATAAATATAACTGAATTTGCTGTATAAAATTTCACTTTTTATCCTAAAAAAAAGTTTTTGCGGAAGTAGAACCACTAACAGAAGTGGGTGAGGCTCGTCTACTTCCTATTCTATCACCGTTTCCTGCATCGTGTCATCCTGTTCATCCATCTTAAGCTGAGGATAATGTAAATCACAGCTTGCTCCAAAAAAAAGATGTAGTCATGCAGGATGATTAATCAGTAAGGTGCTAAGATTAAAAGCTCATAATCAATTTCTGATCTAACAATTTTTACACTCCAGTTAATTCTTTTATGAACAGAATGGTTTATTTAATTCTGGAGAATTCTATTTAATCTGTCACATCTTCATTTTAAGTGTGTTATTTTTAGGACGAGCCATACAATAACCTTTAAATACGTTTAAAGCGAAGCAGAATCTCGCAGAAATTGTTTTGATTTTCTAGCGTAGAGTTTTTTTTTTTTTTTTTTTTAATTTTGGTTTCCATTTTTAGTTTTTGGAAGTCGACTCGATAAATGACAGCTACCTCTCTTTCCGGTCGAACATTTGTCGGTAGGAAATGTGATCACGTACTGAATCAAAAATCGATTTTCGCTTAGGGAATATAATTAATTTTTTCGTATAAGTAATGCAATGTTGGTCCTTTATACGGATATTCGACATTACATAATTTCCGGTCGGGAAAGGGTGTTCAAATCCGCAATCTTATCGCGTCTGAATTGCACATGTTTATCCAGTTAAGCGTACGGTTCTATAGTTATTTTATTCAAGTTTCCTGTAGAATAGTCACATTTCGAATTTCGGCGATGCTGCAAGAAGGTTTGGTTAAATAAATTAATTTCTTCTTCTCCTCTTCCTCCTCCTCGTTCTTTGAGCCGTTTCGTGGAATGCTGCTCGACAAAATTGATGTTTATCTTAGATTTTCGGATGGATAAACAAGATTGCAAGTTAAACTTCTTGTTTCCTCGCGACTTAATTAGTTCGGGCGCAGTGTGTTGTGGGCTTATATTGACGTTCTCGTTCATTTATCTGCTTCAGCTATTGTCCACCCCCGCTAGTTCTCTTAATCAGTAGTCTCGGCGCAATCACATATCTCTTCCTCCTTCAACCGGTTTTCTTTTTTTCCCCTCTGTTCTTTGCACGTTTATCGGTCGTAGGGGTGAGTTTTTGTCTCCGGCGACACCGTTTCATGACCTTCCGCACCTACTTCGGACTATTGTAAAGTTGTTAGATAAGTAAGAGAAGGGAGCCGCTGTACAAAGTGAAGTGATTGCGCGATTGTGTAGACAACTGTTACACGTTAACCGACCGGATTAAAGTTTTCGAACAGTATGGAGAAATTTTAAATGGATTTTTTATGCTATCAGCTTCAGCTGGAGCCGATTAAATGCTAGAAATTTGCATTCAAATGTTGTTTTCTCCCTCCTGTTTCAGATATAAGAATTGAAGACGAACTGGCAAACTTGCGCGCCGTTCGTTTCACGATTTATTATTATTACTTCAGATTGGCAAAGCAGCTTTATAGTAATGGTGTTAACCCTGTTCCACCCAAGTTTTTTCTGTTTTTTTTTTCCTTCTTTTTTTTTAGTGGTCTTTTCATTCATTCCACGCCCATTACTGTTTGTTTCCGTTGCTATAGTAGCATGTCCGTCTGACCGTGTAGCGTGTTTCTTCTCAATGTAGATAATTAAAAATCAATAGAGGCAAGGCTAACGTACTGTGATGTGGGTCAGTCCTTTACTTTACATAGACCTAATATTTGCCAGTGATTTTTGACAAATAATCTCCCCCAAAGGTTAATTGGGGTGGATGGAATTTACAGGTTTTTCCCTGTTGATTGAGAATGAGGAGCATATCACTTCATTACCAGAATTGCATGGACTGGTTATTGGTGCTGTATATCTTTTGGAGTAAATTTGAAATTCAAAAAATAGCATCATGCTTGCTTGATTGGTTACCTTTCAGATGTGTCAACATGTAATTTGAAAGTAATCCATAACAGCTGTTAATGTATTCTGTTCACATGGGATTTTTTGACAACTTTCATCTTTCAAATGATGTGGCTACCGATTAAATGACAAGTGATCTATGCTGCTATGGTTACTAGAAAATTGCATATGAATGGAGTTGAATGACTCAACGTTTTAGAAAATAAATAGCGTGATGTTCTCTCTCTTCGATACTTTGGTATAATTTATATTCGCACTCGTATAGTATATTATTGTATGTACAGTACTGTTAGTCGTGAATGGAATTAAATAACAGTGACCGAAAACAGTTATGAATGAAATGTTTACTATTATTTCTTGTGGAATTGAATTTATATGAGCAATATTTAGAAGTATATGTTATTAATGAAAGTATAATTTTTCTTTATTTGGTGTATGATATAAAAACACAAAATATATTTATGTTGTAGTTAAAATTTTGGCATTTTATTTGAAAATGAGTGCCTAAAGTGAACTTTGGTCTTTATACAATTCACTAGAGATCATCAACATTCTGTAGAAATGATGTTATCAAAAGTCAAAGTTCTCTGTAATAGTATCCCTGTCATCATAGTTAATTCAGCATCACTTCTGCTGTAATTTACCAATTATAATCCCGGATAAGAGCACTCTGCCAAAGATGTACTTTTACCTTTTTTAAACACCACTCAGAAAAAATGCCCCAGGGATATGTTAAATCATCCTACTCTGTCATCATATTAATTAACTAATTACTATGTTACAATCAGAGCAACTGAAGTTTTTACCTGAGAAAAAATTATCCCAGTCTGGTAATACTTGTCAATTTTTTAGAGCTTCATAGATACAGTTCTTTACAGCAGGCCTTATTTACTAATCAATAACTCCGAGAGACAAATTGCTTTCGTGTCGTGTGGCATACCAAATCTGTAACTTCAGTCAAATTGCCTACATTTAATCCAAACTGAGGATGAGTTCTATACACTTTTCCACCACACTGTTTTTTTTTTTATCATAAATACTATCCACAACCAGAATAGCTGGATAGGTAAGTGTGGTAAGGTAGATAAGGTATGTATTTTACATTTTCTGACCTTGATAGTGTGTACTGTGTAATTAAGTTGCCTTGTACTCTTGGGATGTAGTAACCATGTAAAATATTACTGGTCGCCAACAGTTTAATCTGATACTGGCCCACCAGTTATATTGCTATTTTACTTGTATTTAAACCATAGATTAGTTTTTCTTTTGAGTGTAGATAAGTGATTGGAATGGAGGTGTGGTACTTTGCTATCTTTAATCTGTAAATTCTGCTAGGTATAACAAGTATAGAAGAATATCATCAGATTTGGCATTTATCATTTTATGATTTGTTCCCATTTAGGGCACAGAGATTAAAAAAATCTTTCTAGTTCCAATTTAGGTAAGAATCATGTTCATGTAGGTTAAATTAAGAATTATGCAAATACGAGAATCTGCCTAAATTGTATCGATAAACATCTTAGATGGTATCACGACTTAAGTATTTAGATAGTGGCACCAGTCAATCTTTATTCATTTTAGATATCATTAAATTGATTATTGTGGAATATTCTAATCAGGTAATGCCACTATCGTAATTAAGAAAATTTTCTTGTAATAGTTTAATTTTTTTTTTAAGATTCCGTTTTCTACAAAATTATGCATCCAAAACGAGTTTACGGATTCTGTTGCATAGATAAAATATCCTAGTTGAAACCAAATTAAATTTTTTAAAAAAATATGAAAAAAGAATGCAGATAAATTGGATTTCGATGAACTAGAACATGTTATTTTACTCTTAAAGAAAGGTTTTCAAACTGAAATTTTGCATGCTTCACTTACTGGAATAGCAATTTTTTGCTACATAATTGACATAATTTTTCAAAATGTAAAATTATTGCCTTGGTTGATTTTTAGATATTCTGAATTATAATACAATATATATTCTATATCTGTTCATTTCTTTAAAAAAAATGGTAAATAAATTTTTATAATGGAACATACAAAAAATTGAAAATTTGAAAAAATTCTATCGATAATAATTATCTGTATCATAAAAATGACAGCTGCTCTTTATCAAACTAGTACATCGGCAATTTCTTTATAAGACGTTTAAAAAAATATTATGTTCGATTTTTATTATTAATTAATTAAATTCTTTTATATCAGTTTATATGTAAAAAGTGTTAAAAGTATCTTTAAAATATAATTTTTTAAGTTTAAATTTTATAATTTATCTCATTAAAATTTTATTGGGGAAAAATGCAAATTTTAATACATTTTTATTACAGTAATAAATTTTATTTTATTAAATATTTTAATTTATTTTTAATGAGATTTCATTTATGTTAACTTTTTAATAATTTATGTAATAAAAAAATAATTTATTTTCTTAATATTTATCTTAGACAGTCACCGGTGCAATTGTATAATTTGATGCTGAGATCTGATACCACTGAACAGTCTGCAATTACATGCTTGACAAGCATTTGTGACTGTGATGCTCTTGGCTGTCTGCAGAACAAGTGGAGGTAAGAATGCAGGCGATAATTTTGAAACTTAATCGAAATTTGTTACCTTTCTTGTTTTAATTATGATATTATCTCTCTCCGTAATGCTTTAAAATTAAATGTAGCTGATTTTAATTTGGTTTTGACAGGAGGCGAGAAATGGATAAGCAGTGGCTTAGTCCAGGTCAAGAAACCGAATGCATATCCGGAACAGTTCTGGAAACAGATGATCTCAATAAAGTAAACATTTTCTGCCATATTATTAATATCGTTCGATAATGATAGCCATCAAAATTAGATAAAGAGGATTATTGTCGAGCCGGTTTGGGAATTACTGATTGATATCATTAGTCTAATTACATTTTAATATCCTCGGTCTCTTATATTTGTTTATGTGTAAGAAGAATTTTCATCTTATTTGCTAATTTAATAATCTTAATTTCTTGAAATACATTTAAATATTTAACAACTCAATTTAACATCAATTTAATTTTTGTAAAAATATGTCTGTACGTGAAACGTTACTAAAATTGTTAAATTATATTCAGATTCGTCGTAATAAAAACTGTTTGCAAGTAATTTATTTTAGTATGATATTCTGAAATATTCTCAATACCCATTTAAACATAAAATTATTAACTGTTTTTGGTTTTAATTACGAATTATTGATCTACTAATAAGATATTAACTTGAAAGAACATAGTCAATTAACACTAATAAATTGACCTAAAAATTAAATTGTCAAAATNTTTGTTAAGGATAGACTACCACACTTCCCTGGACAAAATTCTAAAAGTTAAGAACTCACCTTACAATGATTGTGAATGGAAAAAAATGTCGTCATGATCGCAAAACATTTCAGGGAGACATCCACAGGAAGTTAAAAGAATGATCTCTCACCCTCAAATTGTTACCAGCAACGGTCAAATTGTAAGATTCATTGTATTTTTTTGATAGAATTAATTCCTATCTTTCTTGTTGGTTGTATGGAGATAGAATTAAGATAGTTCTAATTTGATTTAAGTTCCCAAATTGTCAGGAAGGTTTTGTACATATTTGTTTTGGTTTGATAAAGTATCTTTTTTTATTTTACAAAGATCTTCTAGCATTATTGAATTGTATATATATGGGCTTTACACAGTTTTGGAACTTAAAATTAAGATAGTTCTAATTTGATTATACTAAGAAAACATATTACAGAGATTAATTTTCATAAAGAATAAAAATGAATGTGTTATTATAAAAGTCTGAAATGTAGAACTAACTAAATACAAAATTTTTAAGATCTCTCTTAAATTATTATTAGGGTAAATGGTATAGTTATTGGCCATTTCAAATTTAAACCTCTTTATTAAGAGTTCTTTAAAACCTATTTTGGAAATATTTAATAATAAATATTTTGAAATATATTGTATGGTGGTATTAATAAAAATTTCTAATGTTAGTAGATAGCAAAAAATCCCACAAGTTTTTCTGTCATTGCATGTGGCCAATAACTACATAACTTTACATTTTCCAAAAACAAGGCACATTTTTGATTAATGATTGGCAAATGTAATTTCTAGATGTTGGCAGTAGAAAGGCTATAAAAAAAAAGGGAAGGGGAATTTATTAGTAAGTATAATATTTCCCCAATTTAATTTTTGTCATGTCATAAGGAAATTTTTATTTTAAAAATTCTACATGGCCAATAACTGTACTATGTCAGATCTTCAGATGCATTTTGATGATTTTTTAGAACTGGTTCTCATTACAGCTTTCAAATACATTATATACTTTTATTATTATTATTTTATATTTATTTCATGAAGACTAACTGAAATGGATTTTTAATAAATTAAATTGGATATACTTGAAATTATTGACGTTTTGATAAAAACCACAATCTTCAAGTGACTCAGATTGTTCACTCTGTGTCATCTCCTCATCTGATTTCCAATTTTTCTATTAGTTTTTCCATTCTCAGAAGTTATTTTGTTAAAGTTGTTGACTATCTATTCTCTCTTCTTTTTGCTGAAATAACTGTCCTCTTTTCATTTCTTTCTTTTTACCTTAGTCTGTTTTCTTATCCATATACAGTATATATGTTTTCTTTTCTAAATGCATTGAAAAACCTTCCATTATTTGATTGTCCTTGGTACAGATATAGGACACAAAATTGATGTCATGTTTGTGAAACAACACATTTGTTGTCTATAGTTTAAAAAAAGGTTTATATACCAAATTTTATAAGTGTACTTTATAAGCAGTGGTGATATTCAGCGGGTTCGCACAGGTTCGGCCGAACCCGTTGTTAACATTTTCAAAGTTTTCCGAACCGTTGTTAAACACACGTAACACGTAACATTTCTCAGTGATTTTGTTTCTTTTAAAAAATATATTAAAATATACGTAACACTACTAAACTAGAGCCTTATACCCTGTTCGTCTAGTGCAACCTCCATCGACCGTTTCAATCTCGACTAAAACGAGGTTCAATCGCGATCGACTCGAGAGAGTTCTCGAAACTAGATTCAGTCATAAGAGAAATCTCACAATCCCACGCACGCGAGAAAATACAAGATGGCTGCGGAGCACGTGTCCGGCAATCAACAACGAAATAAGAAAGATATTGCATTTCGAGAGACGATAACATCTGTCTATTATTATAATAATACCTAAAGATAAAATAAATGATTTAGAAAAGTTTTTCTTGTTTAACTGCTTTCCCTATGACTTTTTCTGATTAAAAAAAAAGCCAATTTTTATGTTTATAAAATATTTTGAATGAAAAATATTAAAATATGTACAAAATAAATCATTTTGAACACTCTTTTTTATTATTTATAAAAAAATATAGTTCTGGCATAAACAATGTTAAATTTTAACTGACTTAATTTTGCGAACACACCTTTTTTTATTTATATGGATATCTTCAGGTCAGTTTTTGCGCTAATCTTGCTAATGCACCATTTAAGAGAGAAAAAATTGTTAAGGAAAAATTTTCTGTTAGCGAACCCTTTGTTAAATATTTCGAATATCACCACTGTTTATAAGTAATTAATTATTGAAAATATATTGATACATCACTAAGGATATTTTAATTAGAATTATAATAATTATACCAATTATAGAATTTTAATTGGTTATGTATGTTAAGATTATATTTCAGTTAAAAAAAATTATCATGTTTTTCTTTATAAATGATAACATCATTTTATCTTGATATTTTGGCAAACTTGCAACTGTGAATAATAGACACTTCAATTAAAATTCATAAGAAAAAGTCTTGATCAGGCTTGATTTAAATAGATTTATATCTTGACTGATCATCATTATTATAAAGCATTATTATTTTATAATTAACGATAATAATCAGATAAAATAAATGAAAAAATTTATTGTTGCTAATTTTATGCTGAAGAAAATTGTCAGGAAAAAACTAGATATAATGAAATCTAAGACTTTGAGAAACTTAAATGGGAAAAATTGTAGGAAAAAAATACATAATAAGTATTTTAATATTTAATTTTTTGGTAGTAGAAACAGAATAGCCTAAAATTGCCTCTTTGCAAAAAGAATATATAAAATTCATTATTTTTTTTAGAATGCAAGAAGCTTGCTTATCTTCAAATTTACATGAATTGTTTATGACAATGTATTAGAAATACATAGTCTCCAAGTAATTATGGAGCATATGCAAGTTATTTAAATAACAAATTATTATTTCTGATACATACAAAATGATATATCATGAATAACAAACTTGTTTGAAAGTGAATTATTTATTATTATTTTTTTGGTTTTTCTCAAAAGTTTTTGCTGTAATTTAGTATTGGAATTAGTATTTCATATTTAATTTTATTTATTACATATTGAATTTGAAATTAACATAAAACTGGTCATAAAAAGAAAGATAAAAAATATTTTAATATTAGCATAAATTTTTTTTATCTGCTTTGATGACAATTATAAGATAATTGTTGAAACAAAGTTCTGGATTTAAATATTTTAAAATAGTTTTTTTATATAAACATTGCAATAAGTTCCTGTTTTCATAATGAATTTGGTTAATAAACATTAAAAAACCAATAATAGTTAAGATTTTTAATATTTATTTTTATTTTTTCTTTATTTTTAATGTTGTTGTTCTGGTTTTGACTTTTAAAAAAAGTCAAACTGAAATCATTATATTATATCAGAGTTTACAGGTTTTGATAAATAGTACAGTAAGAATAATTATTTATCATTAAAAAAAGCAATTGACTAGAATTTTTTGATGGCTTTAGGGCTCACAAGACTTGTTTGAGCTACTGGAAAAGTTACAGAATAGTAGATTGGATGATCAGAGATGTGTGCTACCATCATCGTTACAAGTAAGATTTCTTATATAATAGTTTAAAAATGATTTTAAAATCATATTTTTTAACTTTCTGTTGTATTAAATTGTTAGTTTAAAGGCTTTCTTTATCAGATAGAATATTCCTATAAAAATCCTTCTTGGTACTGTTTTGATGTATGCTTATCTTAAAATTTTTTAAACATGTAACATTTTTGAGCATTTATTGCTTTTATAGCTTTAATTATAACATATAAATTAATAACTATAATATATTCTGACCTCATAATATTAATATTAAAATTATGTAAATTATTAAAATATTACAATTACAAAATTTTTTGAAATTTTAGAGTTCCTCCAGTACTAAACAAAAGGTGAAAAAGGAATCTGGGATGCTGGAAGATGTTAGTTGCATTTATTAATAAACATATACAAATATTATTCTTTTAGTGAATGTTTTTTTATAATGCTTAGATACTTCTTAGTCCTGGTCCTTATCCCATGATAGTATTACCTCCGACTGGTGGTTATTGGGTTGATGGTGTCGAGCATGACTGCCCCATTGATTCTCAAGGAAATCCTATTATTCCAAAACATTGCTGGTCTAATAAGTTTGAAACAGATGAAACAGCAAAGCTGTACAGAGAATTCTTCCTTGGATATGTAAATAAATTTATCTACTTATTTCTACTTTTAAAACTTATTCTGAATTTTTAACAATTAAAATATTTTAGGAACATTTAAATTTTGTATCGTCTGACGATAATTTTGGGCCGGTTGTTATGTCTATAAAACAGGAAATCATATCTAACCAAGAGCATTTAAGGGTTATATTAAGGTAATATTTAGAGTAAATTATGATTTATTTGCTTTAATTTTATCTATTTTTCTTTCTTTTTTTTTTAATTTATGAGATTTTATTTTACAGGACAAAGGCAGGAATGATCCATGATCTGGTTCCAACCAGTCTCGCAGGAGACTGTCTGAACCCAGTTCGTGTAGCAAAGGTATATTGAAATTCACTTAAACATAATTAAAAATTGATTTAAGAAATAAAATTAATCAAAACATTTATTATTTAAAGCTTCTAAATGAAGATATTTCAACAGAGAAGTTTTTTCCTGTATTGTTTCCTAAGGTAATATTTTACAAAAACTTTAATTTCTAGTAATTCCCTATATTACTAATTGTAATTTTAATATGTTAGAAAAATAAACATTGTCATTAATATAAAAAATAGTAAAAATTTTCCAGATTATTAATAGATTATAATTGCTATTATTAAGATTATTGCATTAATTTTATATCTACTTGGATGATTTGAATGACCTGATTCAATTTGTTTAAGTAAAAATGAATTATCTTTCTTGAAGAAAATTATGTAATCAGAATGATGAAAATTAACTTCAAAAAGATGTAGAAAAATTAAACTAATTTTAGTTATTCTATATTTCTGTTTATAAACAGTGCATGTACATTTGTATCCAGTATAAATAAATATAAATTAAATACATTTATTGTGAAATCAAGAAAAAAAATTTTATTCATACATAATATATTCTTAATAAAAATTTTGATTTTCTAAATTAAATGTCCTCAATAAACAATTATGCAATTCTGAACAAAAATTACAAAAATAATAGTTATTTCCTAATCTATATGTTATATTACAAAATTATCGGGTAATTTACTATGGAATAGGCACACAATTTGTATTTTAAAAAAATGATATAATTTTATATATATTTTGTTCAGAAATTTTGTAAAGCTTCAGAAAAAGAATTATGAACAATCTCAATGAATAATTTCTTTTTAATTTCAAAACAAAATATTTTAATATAAATGCTATTTTTATCTGAACTTTTCAAAATATATAAGTTTCACTTTTTTTATGTAAAAATTTAAACAGAGTTATAAATATAAAACTTCTATTTTACTTCCTTTCCCTTTTTATTTAAACAGACAGTCGCTGTTGATTATATTTCTTTGAAATAGTCTTTTTAATATTTATTTAAATAAATTAAATTTAGAATCCTTAGAATCTCTATGCAAATCAATTTTCTGAGTTGTATTGATTTTTGAAAATGTTATTTGAACATTTCACTACATGTTCTCTTTCCTACTTCATCCCCAGTTTAATATTGCAATCTTAGGATAATCTTCAAAAGCAAATTTAATTCTTATATAAAAAGCATCGATGCATCTAAATATTTTTGTTTTTATCTGTGTCAATGAAATTATTAAATATTTAATACCATCTGTTGATATTTAGTTAAACAATTTGAATCTTTAAAGAATTTAATTTAATGTTAAATTTTAATTAAATCATGTGATTACAAAATTTTTATTTTAATTGTCCTTGATCTCTTGATTTTAATTAACATGAATTTTAGAATAATAAGAGTTTAGTCCTTTTAATTTGAATTCAAAGCCTTTATTTTTGATTTTAATATAATTTTACAGTTTCTAAATTTTAATGATTATATTTCTTTATATTGAAATAAATAAACAAATTTGAATGTGTCAGAATATTCTTTATGACAATGCTTATCTTAAAGGTACAATTTTTACTTTTCAAATTTCTATTTCTATAAATTATAACTTGCTTCTTATTTTGGTAATGAGAGCCTTTTTTTCCCTTAATATTAATTGTTACTTTAATTAATCCTTACTTTAATTAAAATGAAAACAATCTTATTATATAATTAGATAATTTATCTTTAATCTTCATTTATAACATAATAAAGTAAATACAAATTACAAATTTTTTTAATATATTTAATATATTAAGAAAATAAATACCACATTTTAAAAATCTTTCTTCATTCAAATTAATTTGTATAATGTTAATTGCTTTTGTTTTATTTTTTATCTATAATATAGAAATGTATTTCTTCTGTTAAAATATTAAAATATATTTTTCTATTGCATTCTTAACCTTATAATTTTTTAGTGTTGATATTTTTTATATTAACATTAAATATGTATATCAGTGATATTGGCATTTATGTAAGCATTTAATCATATGTTTTTCTGCTCTTTTCAATGATTATTATTATAAATTTCTAAACTGGCCACAAATCGGAAAAAAGAGGATTTAAAAAAAAGGGATAAATTGGAAGTTAGTTTCAAAATCAGCCATATCCACAGCCATTATGTTTCCAATTATGGAAAATTAATGACAGTGGACTTGGCTGGGAACTGTATGCCTTTTATTATAAGTAAAACACTAGTATATATATTTATTTCAAACTATAGCAAGTCAAAGTTGATTATTTTTAGTATTTGTTTATTTCTTTATTTGTGCTGGTTTTTAAAATTTGTTTTATTTATTTTTTTTATTGAAGATTAAACAATATAAAAACATTTATTTAGAATAAAAAAATTTTCTTAATATATTCAAAATAAAAAAATAATTATATAAATCTATATCTAACAGGCATCAGAGTTAATAGTTGCCTATGATGAACATATTCTAGTCAATACTTTCAAATTTGGTGTTATTTATCAAAGATTTGGTCAGGTAAGTGTATATTTTGACTTTCAACATTTTGCATAATTTTCATTTATAAAATTAAAGATATAAACTTTTAAATATTTTATAAAAAATTAAATAATGCAACAAATTAAAGATAATAGATATAAGTTAATAATATATAAATTAATGTTATATTTTATATAGTGTGCATATGTTATGCTCTTAATATAAATGTTAAATGTGCATACATATATGTATACCTAAAGTAGCAAATAAATGTATTATTATATATCTTTATGACAAACAAATCTAAAAGTTTACATATGTGTATTTTCAAGTGTAATTTACATAATATAAGAAAGCTATCAAGCATAAAAACAAATATTAAAAATATTAAGTTACTTAAAATTCAGAATAAATTATATAATAAATTATAAATTACATATCAAATTTAGTGCAAAAGCTTAACAAATAACTTTTGTTGTTGTAGATTTTAGGTTTTATTTTATTAACAAAGAATTTATGGAATTTTGTTCATTGAAAAATCTAACATTTTGAATCTAGATTAAAATATTTAAATGCAGGAATTCTTTTATAATATGTTAATAAACCTTTATATATTGGCTGCTACACATTATTCTATATTTTTCAATGTGCTACATTTAATATATTTAAAATTTACAACACACAATTATTAGTTAGAAACATGTAATGCATATGAAACATTAATTTTTAACTGTTATAAAGTAATATGCAGAAATGTTAAATAAATTGGATTAATTCACAGCGAATAAATTAAGAGTATATTAATTTAACTAAAGGAATAAGTACCACAAAGCAAATAATGTTAAAACCTACCACAAACATTTAGGAAATTTTATCTTAATCCATTATTAATATTTCATCTGGTATACTGCCAGTCATCTTTAATTAATGTTTATTTCTTTATCTGAATTAATTTAAATAAATTATTTAGTAGTAGTAATTTATGTATTTTAAATTAATTATTAAAACTGGATTCAGGATATTTAAAAATTCATTAATGATAAAAATAAAAATATTAGCATTGCTTTCAACATTTCTGTGTGCTTGTTGACTAAACCATATTTTCTTTAAAGAATAAAAATTATTCTGTATGAATAATATCTATAATTTGTTCTGATATTTAGATTATGACTAATGTTCTACTAACTTTGCTTATTTATATGAATGTCATGCACTAATTATGCAATGGACCGATAAAATAGCTTATCACAGTAAATTTAGTTGAAAGTGTATGAATATCTGTGATTATTTTTTTTTTTATAATTTCTATAAATTTGGCATAATTACATGAATTATCATATTCCAATATTCAAAACTATGTATTTATAAAAATTGTGATTTGTTGAATAAACTTGTTTTACTGGAGTTTATCTTAAATTTATTAATATTGATAATTATATTGCTGATTTGAAGTAACAGGTTAAAAGATTTTTCTTGCTTTTATTTAAATGAAATTTAAGTTTTATAAAACAAAACTATCTGTGTAGATTATCACCAATTAATTCAATTATTTATACTAATAAAATATTTATATTCAATTTATTAAAACTCACCTTAACAACATAACTACTTGTATTTAAAAAAAATTGGGTGGAGTTCAAATATGTGCAGTGCATGTACCAAATTTTTGGGTGGAGTTTACTGATAGATAAAAGTAGCTCATTGTAATAATAATTGTAAATAATTATATGTTGCGTACGCATTGTTTTAATCAATACTCTAAATAGCTGAAGTTTATTCTGTTGTTGTCATTAGTTTTCAGAATTCAATCTTACTGTTTATGTATAATTATTAAATTGAATTTGTAAGTCTTCTTTGGGAAGTTTGTGTTGTAACTTTATTGTAACTTTACCCCTTAAACAGTGTTGAATAAATATCTCATAAATTTAATTTTAAATAGTATTATTAATTTGTGATGAATCATCTGTTTGGCTTCTTATTTTTTCATGATTCTGTTTTATGAATCAATCTAGAGAATTAAATAATGAGTGTTTAAAAATATAACAATAGTATGAATGAATATTTGTTCTGGATATTGGTTTCACAATATTTTTCTTAATAGTGACTAGAACTTTTTGTTTGCTAAATTTTTAAATTAACATGCAGGCATTTTTCAAAGGATTTAGTCTTTGAAAAATGCTTGTTAAAAAAGTCAATGAACAAAATTATTATTACACATTTTCATTTCTAATATAGAAAAACCATGATTGAAGAAGGATTGGATAGACCACCAAAATGCATTTCACTGCAAATGATATAAAATTAATAAAGGAATTACTGTTTAAGCCTAGGATTTACAAGTACTTTAAAATTCCGATAAATAAAAAGGTTATAGTTATCACACAGAAAAATGAGTATACAAAAAATGTTTTGTGTTGTTACTCAGATACAAAAATGGTTTTTTTTGTATATAGAAATTACTAGTTAATTTCTTCTTCAAATAATTTTAAAAAATATTCTGTATATCTGTTCATATCTAAAGCACAACCATAATTCATATAACAATACAGATTCAAAAATAAACTGTGCAGGAAATATAATAACAGGAAATGTTTTAACTTTTTTTCAAGTTAAACTTGACAAAGTCTTATTACAGCATATAAATTATGATTCTCAAATTTAAAACAATACATATTGTAATAGGTAATAAACTTTCAAGACAATGACTTAAATTTTCAAAATAACATGTTTTTGGAGATGTGATTTTTGGAAAAGTTAAAAGTTTTGTAATAAAATAATTTTTTTTTTAAAAAAGAAAAATTTATTAGCAAAAATTAAATTAGTTTTTGTATGAATTTTCCACTTTTCTGTGTATGAAATTACTACACTTTCAATTTTTAATATAAATATTTGCATTGGTTTCATTTCACAAACAGTAATATGGTAGTGAAATAGGAAATTTTTCCCCAAATAAATAAATTTAAAATTTTTCAGTTTTTGATTTTCTAGAATTGAAAATAATATAGAAATCCATATTGGTTTTTTCACATAGCCAAATGTTAAAATATTAAAATTTTCACATAGAGAATCAAACAGCAATTTAAATTTAAAATAGTACTCAATACAAGAATTTTCTGTAATTGAAGCTGGTCTAAAAAGTCAAATATTTTTACATGTACTAAAACATCTGGCTACCTGTAAAGGCAGCATGATTTCTAATTTGACAATATGGTGCTAAGAAGTTTAATAAGAATAATTAATTCTTTATATATTCCAAATAAAATTTTGTTTTATAAACTGTCTTTCCTAAAATAGTTTATTATAATTTTTATAGATGGATATCATTTAACAGGGAAGTGATGTGTCAAATACAGTTGGTGTAAGACAAGTGAAAAACAAAAAGTCAAATGCTCCACTTGTTTGTCTCTATATCAGATATATGTAAATATTTCTTAAACGATTGAAGTTACATAATAATCATGAACAATTTACACATGACCTGTTTGCAATTGATGGATGATAAGGAAATTATACAACTAGAAAATCTTTACATTCCATTAACTCAAATGAACCATATTACTGTAAATTTATCAAATCATAAATTACAGTTGTTTCACAGTAATTCATATAATATCTTTCTATAAAGAAAATATTTTAGAGTGAATATCATCTTTTCTGTTAAAATTTCTCTTCTGATTTTTTATGAATGAATATGCATTTCAAATTTAATATTTGACATATTATATAAGAATTTGTTTTGTTGTAGCTAAATGAATTTTGGAAATTGTCAAACAGAATTAAGAATTTAAAAGACAGTTCAATTATAACTTAGTAAAAATTAATGAAGATGGTTATNATATTATATAACATATAATGATGTAAATATTATAATAAATAATTGTTAATTGTGGTATATATTAAATTTATCAAAGGTAAACTAACATAAAAAATAAAATATTTGATCTTGTTGCATTTGTATTTAATGAATGTGGACTACATTTAGCTTCTGTTTGTTAATTAGCGAATTTAATAAATCAAACGTGAGCAATTTTTTTAAATTTCAGACAATTAAAATCAAATATCTTCTAAAAAATATATTTAACTATACTGTAATTCAGATATTTAAGAACTTTATCTTTAACTCAACCATGAAAATTAGATATTACTTACCTATTGAAAAATGTTAAATAATTGGTACATTTTCAGCTGTAATTAAATGTAGTTAAAATAATAAATTAATACATTTATTTTAAGGCTATTGTTTTAAGACAAAGTAATGTGAAATTGCAAAATGTTTGGAAATGAGGATATTTTTAAAACTTTTTGCTAATCTAAATAGTAATAAAAAAATCTACAATATATATTGAAGAGTAATTTATTATTATGCAATTATTTGTTATATAATTTGAACTATAGGAGAGTATGGCATTTTTAACTAAATATTTATTTTATCTTCATAAAGTTGATCAAATTATAAAATGAAGACACAAATAAAATTTGTATTTTTGATTATTTTGGATTTTTAAAGTAGATATTCCTTAGTGATATCTACAAATAGTTATGATTCCAACAGATTAAATGCAATACTAACAACACAGTTGAATAACTCCAAAGGAAAACATGAACAACATTAAGAAAACACAACATTATCTCTAAGTCATTCATAGAAAAGCTGACTCTTCCTTGTGAAGAGGGAGGATGTGGTCTTACAGATATTTTAAATTTGCACTACAAACAAAATACAGACACTGCAAGGGAGTTTCTACAGAAAACAAGAAACACCACAATTACACAAAGCTCTTAACTCTTGCAGAAAAAATATTACAGCATTAAACTTACAAAATACTGATCCAGATCTTACACAGTGTACAAAATTCCCAGACAAGAACAGGCAGTCCTAGGCTCATGCTCCACATTGGATAACTTGGATATTTGTTGGGCTTGTAGTCCTCTCTTGCACAGGTGTCATACCACATACACTATAGAAAAATCTAGAAACATCAGAGTTTCACAACACATACATCACGTTATAGAAAGCAAACATACTAGACACATTTCATGCAGTCAGGAAATTCTTAAACACAGATACATACATGAGTAGCACATAAAACATTTCTTTTTTTCTGTAACTATACCTTGACTCTGCACTGGTAATAACCAAGTAGGATATGTTTCACAAACACTGCAATAATAATAATGATAATAAATCTTGCATACTTATAAAAAAAGATCACTTTTTGAATATTAAAAAAAATCAAAATTCTAAGCATACATCTTGTTTTGAATACAGGTTAAAGAAGAGTTCATTAACCTTTAACAGTAGATTACAATATCAATTGGTATTTTAAAATATGGACTTCATTACTGATTATAAAAATACTTTATATATTTATGACCATTATTTGTTGTGGTATGTTATGTTCTTTGTTATTTTTAGATTTTTAACATTGCAATATAATTATAGTATTACATATAACATTCTCTAATATTTATCTCATGTAAAAGTTTTTATTTTAATGCACTATTATATTATTAATCTCAGATTAGTTGCTAGATTTAACTGGAGATTATTAAATTACTAGGAATCATTTGGGAGTTGGTGGGCAAATTTTTTATTATATTATTTAAAAATATATCAGAAATAATAATAATAAAATCTAAAAGATAATTATTAGTATAACTATAGAATACAATTCTGAATTTTGACATGTTTAAAAATTTATTTAAAAGCATGGGCTATTTTAAATTTGATTCCTGTTGTTTATGGAAGAATTCTGGTTGATGTAAAGAAAATAAAATTACAGTAGAGCCTCGAAAACTCGGCACTCAATAACCCGGCACTCCGGATAACTCGGCCACACCCTGGCAGGGCAAAAAAATTCTTAGTTAATTAATTTTCATGATAAAGACAGCTTTATGCCTCATAAAGTATTTTTCTAAGGTCTGTCTTATCAGGTAAATTACTATACACAGTGTATTCTTTAATTTTCATTTTCATGTAGTAAAGGCTCTGTGCCTTCATAGAAGACGTACTTTTCCTTTGTTTAAGGGTATTTGGGCAGTTTTTTCTCTGTTGTATTCTCAAGTAAACAATACATACAAGTACAGTACAGTATTTTCTGAGGAAACACTCATACTTATTTTTTAACCCCATTCCCGATAACCCGGCATTTTCACAAACTTGGCCACCCTTCGGTCCACATTAGGCAGAGTTTTCGAGAGTCTACTGTATTATTATTAAACAGTGTAGAAAGAAGAATGCAAATTAAATCTAATGTTGGAAAGGAGTTGACAGGCAAAATAAATCAGAAAGTCCTGTATTAAAACATATAAATATTTTAATATAAAAAGATACATATTTCCAGTAGTAGTATCATACACAAGAGAATTTTAGAAATCAATTAAACGAGAACAGTTTTCAAGTTTTATAAATGATCTTTTCAGTTAAACATTGCAATAAAATGTGTAAGCAAATCTTTATTTATTCAAGCAATATCAATAATCTCCCTATGGACGCACAAAATTCCATTAATATTAACAAAACACAGCAAGAATTAAGTGAACATATTATTTATACATTGCAGTTTATATTACTGATATCATTTACATTTCTGTAGTTATTGAAATGTTTTAATGTAACATAAACTGAGTAATTATATTTAAAATTGTTTTTACAGAAGTTGGATTGTAATTTAACATTTAACTTGTTAATATTTTCAGACAACAGAAGAAGAATTATTTGGAAATCTTTCTCACAGTCCATCTATGGATGAATTTTTAGAAATATTAGGGGAGAAAGTTAAATTGAAAGATTTCAAAGGGTATTTCATATTCTAAATTAACATTCTTAGCATAATAAATCTGTGTGTGTCAAACTTTAATGTAAATTTGTTTTAAGATTCCGAGGAGGGTTGGACACTCATTACGGTCAGACTGGTGAAGAATCTGTATATACTACTTTTCAAAATTGTGAAATCATGTTTCATGTTTCTACACTCTTACCTTTTACGGAAGGTGATGTACAACAAGTAAGTAATTGCAAGTTTTGCATGGCATGGCAGAATTGCAATTTCATAATTTAAATTTACATTATTTTTATAGTTACAAAGGAAACGTCATATTGGAAATGACATTGTTGCAATAGTTTTTCAAGAATCAAATACACCATTCATGCCTAGTATGGTAGCATCTCATTTCCTGCATGCGTATATAGTTGTTCAAGTTTTAGATTCGCAAAATCCGAGAAAGTGAGCATTTTTTTTATGCCTTAAATCATGTCAATTAAATTAAATATTTTAAAAGGTAAAAGAAAAATTGGAAAATTTGAATTCTCTTGTCATTATTTTTACTTACAGATACAAAGTTTCTATAGCTGCAAGAGATGATGTACCATTTTTTGGTCCTACGCTACCAAATCCAGCAGTTTTCACAAAGGGTGCCCAATTTAGGGATTTTCTTTTAACAAAACTGATCAATGCAGAAAATGCTTGTTACAAAGCAGATCGATTTTCTAAGTTAGAAGTATGAATTTTTATCATATTTTTATTTTAAAATTACTGCTACAATATTGATGATAACATTATAAAATTTAGTGTCGTACACGAGCTTCTTTGCTTCAATCGCTTCATGATAATTTACGTCAAAAAACTCAGGAGTTTTGTGGTCTTATATTGCCCACGGATAGTAAACCCGAAATTAATGGCAGTAGCACAAGATTCTTTGATTCTGTACGTAAAGCATTAAGTGGGAGAAGCAGAAGCCAGTCTGTAGAATCAAATTTGGCTAATGCTACACCAAAGCGCTCATCATCAAGCACTAGTAATAGCAGTTTGACAGGGACGCTCACGGGTGAAACAACACCAACAGTTAGTACTTTTATCTTTATAAATTCTGTTTAAAATTTTAATTTTTATTAAAGTTGGTAAAATATTTTCAGACAATGCGAGCACAAAGTAGTAAGAGTTTGTACCAAAGATCACCCTCACAGAGTTCTGGAAACAGGTACTGGTACATTCAATTATTAATTTAAAATGATAAAATTATACAATTTTATTAACAATGTAACAATATATTTGTTTAGGGAAAACAATAATCGATGTAGTGATTCCATAAGTGTAAGTGCAGCTTCCCAAATTTGGGGAAGAGCAAACAGTACACCAGGGACACCTATATCAAGTCCCGATACTCCACCTCCTCTTCAACCACATGCTTCAGAATCTGATTCCTCTAGTCTAAATAGTTTGGAATTGGAACGTGGGTCATTATGTCATGAAGATTCTGATGTTATGTCTGATTGCTTATCATCGGCTGAAGTACTGGCAGGTAACAAATATTACATTTACAAACATCATTTGATTAAAAATTATCAACAGTTTTTCTTAATAAAGAAAGAAATGTTAGCAAATGTTTAAAATATATCTACATTTATTCATTAATAGCTTTGAAATATCAGACTGAATCTTTGAAGCAAGAAATAGCAAAATTGAAGGGTGATAAATTGGATCTCTTAAAACAAAATGTTGTAAGTGAATTTTAATAATTCTCTAATAATCAATAGATGTTTATTTAAAATAATAAGTTTAAAAAATATAAACACCACTTTTTGCTTAAAAAGACTGGTAGTGTTCTAAAGCTGTTGGTTTTTCTCTTATTATTTAACTTAAGTTACAGTAATCTTAACAATTTAACAACTTGTAACTAAGAAGGTAAGATTAAAATTACATATTTTTTAAAATAACTTTGCAAGCAGTAAATTTAGTGCTTGCAAATAAAATTTAGGAGTGACTTGAAGCATAGTTTTATTTGCAAGTTACTCCTAAATTTTACTGATTCATAATAGCAATTCTGCTGATAGAAATTTTTAATTTTGTTTGCAAATAATGATTTATATCTTAAATAAAAATGCTGAGTTTGTTTAAATATTTTGTATATATAAGATTATTGATACATTTAAATCATTTTGTTAAATTACATCATACAGGGCTAACACATGAGAAAACTACAACAAAGCTGTAACATAAACACTGTTGTTATTTATTACATAAAATTAATTTTAAGTTGAATATACTGAAGTCTTTAATTTCATTAACTAAATCATTCTTAAAAATTTAATCAGCTATTTATTGATGTGTGATACGTAGCAGTTGAGATGGTGCATAACATCTACCTCTAGTACCAAATTACTTAATTTCTAGTTATTAATTGTAACAAAATAATAGCCCAGTTAATTACAGCGATCGTTTGTTTTAATATTAATATATTGGGCTTTGGGACACTTACATGTGATTAAACTTTGAGTCTCAATGTATAATATTATAATTGCCTGTGTTTTGATTAATTTCTTTTTATCAGTGCACAAGCATGACAATGCATGAATATATGAAGGCTGTTTCTTTTTCAACCTCTGATGGTCCATAAAACAAAGACAAATGTAAATAACAAAATGAATTTATTACCAAAAGTTAGGTACAAACATGGTTACTTTTTGACATAATTGCTGTGAAGATTGATGCACTTGTCTATCTGTGGATGAGCTTTGAAGTCCCCTCTTCATATAATGTTTCCACCAAAACTGGTGGTTTTATTTTAATAACTGAGAAAAATATGATCAAATTTTCTGAGTGGTGTAGTAAATACACATTTAACTGTTTGATTTTGAAACATATTCATTAAGGAAGATTTTTGGCTTCATATTGAACTATCATTGAAATTCAGCTTAAATACAAAAAATAGAATAGTTTTAGATGATACAGTTTTACAACAAATTTAAAATTACTTTGGAAATGCTGGTGATTGATTAAATTTAAGCTTGTTTTATTTGCTGCTATTCTTTTTTTCATATATATTCAATCATCATAATAATTTTTGATGATTAGATATGTATTTCCAAAATATAAGTATGTTAAACATCCCAAAGCCAATACATAGATACTCAACCAAACAATTACCTTAAACAATCAAGCTAAAAATCTGCTATTATTAATGATTAGATACTAAGTAATTTGGTACTAGAGGTAACTGTGTAATACAACCTTACACCATGAGTAACTGCATAAAGTTAATCTAAATTTTAAATACATCTGGAAGTGAAGGCTTGTTTGGGGTCTGGTGACCTAACTGGTAAGTGCACTGCATGGTAAGAGGAGGTTGCAGATTCAAACCCTGCTCCAGGCTAGTTTCTTTTCTTCCAGATGGTTCTAAATTATTTAATAAATTATTAAGATTATAATTATTAATTTAGATATAACATCTACCTCTAGTACCAAATTACTTACTATCTAATCTGAATTAATAGCCTTCTGATTGTTTAAGGCAATTGTTTGGTTAAGTATCCCAAAATAATTTTTTGTTCTACAACTATTTTAGAACAAAAACTATTAAAGCTATGTATTTAAGCTGAAAATGGTTTAACATGAGCCAAAAATATTCCTTTATTAATACACGTCTGTTGGTTGCTATATGTGACTGATCTTGTATGGATAGGAGTTGAGAACTTTCCACAAGACTTTCCACACTTTGGTATACTGTAATTCTACTACTTCCAGCAAGAGTACCCTCTGTACTGGTGATGATTGCATTTGCAACATCTGTAATTGTCTCTTCTGGCACTGGTTTGTCCTCTGCTATGTTGCACTGCTAGCAACCCTATTTCTTCAAACTTCTGAATCATCAGTTCCAAAGAATTAATTGACAGTGGATTTTTATGCAAGTTCTCAAGGGTTCTAAACTCTCAGCATGTTTGGCTGATGAAAGTAAAATAACTTCACAAATAATGCATGTTGAGAACTACTGGTAATTGGAATATGTGGGATCTACGAATATCTGTAGAATGATANACCTGGTGGGTGCAAGCCCATTACCACCGTCTTGATGGAGAGCAGCCCCCACGGCTAGCTCAGATGCATCCGTGAAAAGATGGAACTCTGATGAAAAATCAGGGTGCCTTAAGGTCGGAGGCGTGGTCAAGGCCCTTTTCAATTTATCAAAACTGTCCTCGCATTCTCTTGACCACCTGAAACGATGTCCCTTTTTAGTTAGCTCGGTAAGGGGCAACGATAGGTGGGCGAAATTATCTATGAATGGACGATAGAAGCCCAGAGTCCCTAAGAACGCTCTTACCTCCTTAACCGTTTTGGGTGGGGGGATTTCCATGAAAGCCCTAATGTTCTCTGGGTCTGGTCTCACTCCTTCATTATCAATGATGTGCCCCAGGTAACGGACAGATGTGACGGCAAAGCGACACTTTGACGGTCTTAGGACCAATTCTGCCTCCTTGATCATCTGGAGCACCTCCCTAAGCAACACGGTATGTTCATCCAAGTCCTGGGAGAACAAAACCACATCGTCCTGGAAGACGAAACAATGAGTCCCAACATATTTGGAGAGTATGGAATTCATGATTCTTTGAAAGAACTGTCCCGTGTTTTTCCCCCCTTGGGGCATGCGGCACAGCTGGTATTTTCCCCAGGGGGTAGAAAAGGCGAATATCTCACGAAGGTGTGGGGCCACAGGTATCTGGAAATACCNAATTCAATTTTATTAATTTGTTCTACATTCCGATCTCGTGCATTACGTAATTTGAAAAGTCCGTTAAAAGCTATCAATTCGAAAACAAAGGTATTCGATTTCGCCTGAAGACGACAGTCGTAAACTGTTGAAAGTACTAGCGAACATATCTGAAATTTAACAAATCGCTGTCAATAAAGCCGCAACACGTAAGTGTCATAATTTTAATTGTGAGTTTATTTTCATATACACTCAATTACATTTAATAATAATTATTTTTGTTAACTAATTATTAGTATAACTTTGTTCATTTTGTTGTCGTTAAATTATTCTATTCTAAATATTCCAAAACAAACTATTTATTTTGTATAACTTTAATTATCGTACTTCTTAATATACTCAATTAATTGTAATAATTGAAATAATTGTAATTGTATACTGTATATAATTTCACCTGGTAATGCTATAAAAGCAGGGCTAGATATGTACAAATTTGTACTAATAAAGCAACGATTGATTGATTGATTGTATAGAGATTGACCATTGGCTAGTATCACTCTTTCTCTATGTTTACTATTAATGGTTGTGAATAAATGCTTCTCGCAACACATATGTGACGAAGCTCCCGAGTCTGTGTACCATTGATGAATCTCGTTTTGTGTTCCTGTCATAAAACATACATAGGATTCCTTTTCCAGATATTGTTCATCACTTTCAAGACTTATTTCATATTCTCTAACTGAAGGACATCCTTCTTCAGATAGAGGACATTTGCTGGAGACTGAAGCTGCTCTACATGCAGCTTCAGTCTTCAATGGATGCTGTCTAATTTGGTCAGTATGACACTTTATAATATTTCCATCACCGGTGCAATCTGAGTTCATTATTTTCCCTCTTCATCCTGTGATGTTTGCCAGCATCCATTGCTTATCAGAATTAAAGGTTTGGAGATATACTGGTTCATCCATTTGGAAGATTTTTTTGCATGAGTTGGTGACTGATTGTTGTTGACATTGAATGACTTGAGATGGGAATTTGTTGCATTAGAACAAAGGGGTTCTATCTACACAAAGTGTAATTTTTCAGGAAATGATCTCAAAGTTTGACAGTAGATATGGATGAAAGTATAATCAGCAGATGATTAATTTTTTTACATAAAGTTCTAGCTTATGTAGGTCTTCAGTGACATAGTTTTGGTGTCCTTCCTCTTGATATTTCACAAGAAAAAAATAGTGACATTGTGGATAGAATTTTTTTGCATCAGGGATGATGAGTTGGTGTGAATTTTAGCATGTAGAAAGAACCTTATGATCCTGTAAGGTTTGCATTAACTTGTGGGATCTACGAATATCTGTAGGATGATATTCGCAGAGATGAATAAAAAAGATTACCACGAAAGGAGGAGACGAGCACAATACAGAATCAAACAAAATTTATATACCAAAAATATATTCTAGATTACAACACAGGAAGTTGGTGTAGGCCTGGCACGTGGCGGTCAACACAAAGAGTCCACACAATACACTCGTAGAACGCACCTTCCACTCGAACACCAAGGACCAGAATGCCGAATTGCTGGTTCCCTACCATATATATACCGCCCCCACTTACACCGTGCTGCCACACAAAAACCGCCCAAAAACAAACAAAAATTTTTTTTTTTTTTATAATACAATAACCACATCGGCAGTACACAAAAACTAATATATATATATATATACACAAAAAGGAAATAAGATCCGAAGCGAAAGAAAACAAAGTTTTTTTTTTTTTTTTTTTAAACATGACGAACATGATAACACCGACCGACAATATATATTAGCATGACACATATGCCCCCCCAAAGTAAACAAAAAAAAAAAAAATTTTTTTTTCTTTTTCATTCATTTTTTTTTACATTTAATAACCACGGTTCAAGGTGACGTAATCAACCCTGCGCCGTCTGAGGTTATAAGGAATATCCCGTTGAGTAGCCACGTCGTCATCTTGCCTTCTATCTGCCCGTGTGTCACCGGG